CCTTTCTCTGGGGATTATCGCTGCCCAGCAGTGATGCTCCTGTGTCCTGAGCCGAGTGTGTTGTGGACACTACTCTACCCAGGTGCTTTTGGATCCTTTTTGTCCAACTGCAAGCTTTGGAGCCACTTTGCCCAGGGGCATAAGGTACAGAGAGCCAGAAGGGCCCGGGGTTTTCTTTCTGCCCTTGCTCCCCCTCAGGCCTTAGCCAATGCCTGATGGATGGTGGTACAGGGAAATGACAGCCCAGAGGGACACACTCTGGGCAGTATTTATAATCCACCCTGCCTATGCTCAGATTCCATATTTGCAAATTTGCCTATGCACTACAATGTACTTGTAACCCCAAATCACTGTGTGGTACTTTCATGGTCATTCCAGGACACACACATAGTAACACAGTACTCTTATTTCAGCTCTTCAGGTACCATGTGTACTGGTTAATAATGTAGATTTTGTAATCAAAATACGATAATTTCAACAGAAACATCAAAAGTACTTTATTCAAAGTAATGTCCATCGCTAGCTACACATTTCCCCCATCTTTCAGGTAATTTGTGGATACCGTCCCAATAGAATTTTTCTTGTTTTGAGGCAAACCATTCAGAGACCCAATTTTCCACTTCTCCATACGTTTTGAAGTGCTGCTCAGAAAGCACGTGTGCCATCGATCAGAACAGGTGGTAATCTGAAGGAGCGAGGTCTGGTGAATACGGTGGGTGGGGTTAATACTTCCCTTTTAACATTTCTTTAACTGGTTTTGAAGTATGTGATGATGCGTTATCATGAAGCAAAAATAGTTTGCCGATTCTTCTGACCCATTCCGGTCGTTTTACGATCAAAGTGTGGTTCAAATTGTTTGTTGTCGGTAACGATCAGTATTAATGGTTTCACTTGGTTTTGGAAGCGCATAATACACCACACCTTCTAGAGCCCAACAAACGCAAAGAATTGTCTTCTTTCCAAAGCGATTTGGCCTTGCAGTCAATGTTGATGGTTGACCTGGATCAACCCATGATTTTGTGCGTTTGGGATTCTCAAATCCACTTTTCATCGCCAGTCACAATTCAATGCACAAAAGACTTTCTTTTGTGCCGTTGAAGCAACATTTTACTGATGACTTTTTGGTTTTCCATTTGTCTTTCGTTCAGTTGATGTGTCACCCATTTTCCTTCCTTTAAATCTTTCCCATTGCTTGTAAACGATCAGAAATTGTTTGCTGAGCAATGTTTAATTGTTCTGCAAGTTGTTTTTGCATTTGACACGCATCTTCATCCAATAATGCTTGGAACTGTTGGTCCTCAAACTTTTTCGTTTGACCTGGATGTTCTTTGTCGTTTACATCGAAATCATCACTTTTAAAGTGTTTAAACCAGCGTCACAAGTATCTTGAGATGGAGCACGTTCACCGTAAGCTTCCTGGAAGTATACGATAACTTTTTCTTTAAAATAAAGTAATGAATTAAAACTTCCTGCAAATGCTTTTTTTTTGGCACGAGATTCAACATTTTTAAGCGTAAAAATATCTATGATGTTAACACCTTCAGCAAATTTGACATATGAAGTTTTGAAGCTTGCTGTCAATACAACAAAATAGCATACATATCAAATAGCATATATATCAACATATGTGTAACTCCATCTATTGAAAAAAATCCGAATTATTAACCAGTACACCTGGTAAACAAGTATTCTTTTTGTTGTCTATTTAGTGCATGTTTTTAAAAAAATATATTTTATTGATTTTTTACAGAGAGGAAGGGAGAAGGATAGAGAGAAAGATCAATGAGAGAGATACATCGATGAGCTGCCTCCTGCACACCCCCTACTAGGGATGTGCCCGCAACCAAGGTACATGCCCTTGACTGGAATCAAACCTGGGACCTTTCAGTCCTCAGGCTGACACTCTATCCACTGAACCAAACCAGTTACAGCCATGTTTTTTACACTTTGGTGCTTTTTGTTGGTCATTTCACTGTTTAAAATGATCCCCAAGCATTGTGCTGAAGGGCTGGCTTGTGTTTCTAAGAGCAAGCAGGCTCTGCTGTGCCTGTGGGGAAAATCCCTAGGTTAGGTAAGCTTTGTTCAGGCATGGGCTATAGTGATGTGGGCTGTAAGTTCAATTTTAATGAATCAAGAAAATACACTGGCATCTTTAAAGAACAACAAACATCCCGGGTTTTGGCACCAAAAATGAAAAATCAGACAGAGGCCGAAAACCAGGACTACAGGCTTTATTAGAGAAGGACCTGCTGGGCTGTCTCGCAAGGGGAGAACAGCAGCACGTGCAGGGGTGAGCATCCCTTTTGAGGGGCAGAATGGGAAGGGGTGGGGGCTTAGTGTACTCGGCGCACTCTGATTGGTGGCTTACTGTATGGTCCATATAGGACAGGGCTTAGGGTATTTGGCAGGTGTGGATTGGTGATCCAATGTATAGTCCATATAAGGTACATGGTTAGTCACTCAGGTATTTCCCTGCTGCAGGTTATGTCATACTCCGCCCACCAGTTGGGGAAAGGGAGGATCTATCAGTTGTGCAATAACCCAAATCCCAAAAATGTGAGCAGAGGCTCACAGGAACTTAGCTCTGTACTCCCCCTAGAAGCTACGATTTCATATTCTCTAATTCAGTGTTCATGGTGACTTTATAGAATATAACTACCAGGAATAATGAGAATCCATGGTGGGGGTGCGGGTGGCCTTCTAGATTCTAAGAAAGAAGTTGGAGCTTTGCAAAAGCCCCAATGGACATCTCATTGTTCAGCTTTTAAGTTTTTTTGGGGGGGTTAGTTTATTGTTTGCCCCTACTGTTATCCATTGCCTCCAGCAGCCAGGACATAAAAGCATTCAAATGGTAAACAACCTATGGAGAGAAGCCACTAGGATTGGTCTAGTCCGAGTGAAATGGGATAAAGACCAGCCTTTTTCGGAAGTCTTCCAGAGGACCTCCGACAGGTCAAATCATGACTTACTTGGGACCCAGGCTTTGAAAGAGCTCCCGCTCTGTTTTGCTGTCTGCTACAGGTACCAGGAGGGTGGGTTGTTAGTTTTTTTTTTTTTAAGTTATCTTAATTGTTGAATGTATTACAGATGTCCCCCCCCTCCAGTGACCCTCCTGAATCCCACTCCCCCACCCCTCAGACCTCCACGCACTACGGTCTGTGCCCAAGGTTATGCATACAGCACATGCATATAAATTGTGTGGTTAATCTCCTCCCACACCCCACTTCCCTCTGAGATGTCTCAGCCTGGTTCATGCTTCCATGTCTCTGGATCTATTCTGTTCGTCAGTTTATTTTGTTAATTTGGGCTGTTAATCTTCAAGGCGGCGGGGAGGAGGCGGCGGCAGGACTGGAGTAAATTAGAATGCTACAAAGCTTGATGTTCCTACTCAGATTAGCTGTTTTTCTTGACTAAATGCTAACTGACCCATTGCTGCAAGACGGGTTAATTTACAGAACTCTGAAGGCATTCATTCTGACCATTTTTTTTTTTTTTTTTTTTGCCAGTTTTTCATTGCTTGTACGGAAGGGCAAATTTTATGAGGTCTTCACTCCAGCATTTTCACTGACATCACCCTTCCTTTAAGAAAAATGTTATTTTATTGTACAACATTAAACCACAACTTAAAAAAATAAATTAAAATTTTAAAAGAACTTTCCCACACAAATTGAAAAGAAAAAATCCAGAGGAAAATTGCTCCTCATCCCACCCCCTAATTAATTCATTTTCATTTGTCCATGTTACTGTCTACTCTTCTTCCAGACATAGATTCTGACATTTTTGTTGGTACTTTTATAAATAGAACTTTATGTTCAAGTTAACATAATACTGTGATTTCCCCACCATCTTTCCACCTCTCATCTTCCTTTCCCCACTTTCCCGGTCCCTCCCGCCCGCGCCCGCTCCCCGTGTGGAGGGAACAGCGGCGCTCGCCGTCCGGCCGCCGCCGGCTCAGGGCAAACCCCGGCCGCCTGCGCTCAGCGGGTCTGTCGTGGCCACTGATTGCACCCGCTTCCTCCTCCCGGAGCGCTCGTGGCCGCCTCGGTCCGCAGACGGAGATGTGACAGGAGGTTGTGCACGCCGTCTACCGTGTGGGAAACGACCCACCTTGTGCCCACTCCCACCCCCAAACATTTGGCTACGTAACCTGGGTGCTGTTCCTTTTAGTTCTAGAAGATTCTGAGGAAGGGTCGCCAGGTCAAAGGTCATACACATGGAAAATGTAAGTAGCTATTTCTATCCTCAACGTGTCCCTGTGCTCGGAAAGGTGTCTCACAACTTGTTCACGCTCCACTCAGAAAGGGTGCGGAGCCACGTAACGGCTTTTTAAAGTAATGTATCCTCTGATGTTTAAAATGACGATTTCGCTGCCAAAACTGAGGAGAAAGCAACACTACAGCTGCTCCCGCCCCTCTCGCCCTTCGGGTGATAGTTGTGCCTGGGGCTGCGAGCTGGTTCGCGGGCCGACCACGAAGCCCTCTGGGCGGCTTGCCCGTCCCCGGGCTTCCCAGGGGCCGTCGGAGCCTCACGCAGCCCCCCAGGAGGCGTCGCGACGTCGCAGCCTCACGCAGCCCCCGGGGGGCGTCGGAGCCTCACGCAGCCCCCCAGGAGGCGTCGCGACGTCGCAGCCTCACGCAGCCCCCCAGGGGGCGTCGCGACGTCGCAGCCTCGCAGGGGGCGCCACATCCCACCTGACGGACGCGCTAAATCTCTGCTCCGTGGAGCCTCTCACATTTCGGCCCCGGGAGGAGAGCGCGCGTGCGGCGTCGCCGTCCGTCCTCGAGGTGAAGCGCCCCGAGAGCTGCCCTGAGGGGCGACGAGCTGCCCGGGCGCCACCAGAGCACCGGGCCCCGACGGCGAGGATGATCTCCTGGTCGGGCTGGCCGGCCGCCTCCGCCGGGGGCGCCGAGGGAAGGCGCCGAGTCCCGCTCAGCTGCGGGCCCGGGGGCGTGGCGAGGCTGCCGCGGTTCAGCTTTACCCCGAGCCGGGGCAGCTTTTGCTTTCGTTTCCCGCCGGCGTCTCCTCCCCGCGGGACCCGCCCCGCTAGCCGGCGGCCCGACGGGCACTGCGCCCCCGCCGCCGCGGCCATGGCCCAGGCTGCCGCGCTCGCGGAGGTGACCCAGGTGCTATGCGCGGCCGGGGGCGCCTTGGAGCTGTCGGAGCTGCGGCGCCGCTTGCGGGGCGGCGTCGGCGCGGACGCGCTGGAGCGGCTGCTGCGGGAGTCCCCCGGCCTCCTGGTGGCGACGCGGGCGGACGCGGGCGGCGCGGCCGCGGTCCCCGAGCGGGTGGTGCTGGCCGTCTCCGCGCTGCGCCTGTGTCGCGGCCACCAGGGCCTCAAGCCCACCTGCGCGGGGCTCTGCGGGCAGCTGCACTTCTGCAAGTTTATGGTCCTGGGCGCCTGCAAGTTCCTCAAAACCGGGTAAGGCCCCGCGGCCGAGTGGAGGGGGTGGAGGGGGGGAAGGGGCGGCGGGCCGGGTGAGGCCGGGGTGGGTGGGGTCGGGTGGGGCGAGGGCCGCGTCCCCTCAGTTCGCCCGCTTTGAGCCCTTTCTAAAGTCTGGGGAGGTGATTTGGTGGCCGTTGCCCCTAATTCTCCTCAGTGAGCATTTATTGAGCACCTACTGAATGCCTGGCACTGTGTGTGGGAGGGACTCGGGTGGAGCCGTGCCCTCCAGGCTCCTGACCGGCAGAGAGTGATTTAGAGGCTGAGACAACCTGGGTGTGGCCGCACCGGCGCGTGGGCGTGGGCGCGGGGGGAGGGGCGTGGGCGCGGGAGTGGGGGGTGTGGGCGCGGGGGCGTGGACGCGGGGGGGCGTGGGCGTGGGGGGAGGGGCGCGGGGGGCGTGAGCGTGGGGGGTGGGGCGCGGGCGCGGGCGCGGGGGGAGGGGCGGGCTCTTCTGAAGAAAACAGGCCGCGGCCCGCTGCGCGCGACGCCCTGCCTCCGAGCCCTGAGGGCCGCAAACGGGCGGCTTCCTCGGTCCCGGACGGAGGACCTCTCGGCCTGTTGCCGCCGGTTCGCCAGCGGGAGAGCTTTCTGCGGCGTTTCGGATAAAATGCAAGTTCCTCTCCCCCGGCCAGAGCGTCCCCGGGGAGCTGGCCCGCCGCCCCGCCCCTGCAGGCGCCCTTTGCTCCCGGGAACACTCCCGGCCTCTGCCCACCTGGTGGCCTTTGCCCTGCGTGGAACGTGAGCGCCTTTCCCAGTCTGTCCCCCGAATCCCGGCCTTAGCTCACGGATCCCTTTACTTTTTGAGCCCCCTCTTCCTCTCCATCACGCTGTCCTGTTTCTTTTCTCATAGCACCTGCCCTCCCCCCACCCCAGGAGGACGGAAACCGAAGGCCAAGGCGGGCGGGCGGGTGCGGGCCCTGTCCTGGCCGGCGGCTTCCCGCGCTGCCTGCCTCAGGTGCTCTCTGAGGTGGATGGACTCGGTTTGGGCTAAGAGTTTGGACCTCACCCTGAAGGTGATAGGAGCCTGTGAAATGGCAGGAGAGAGCAGCCACCAAGTCTGCATTTTAGGAAGGTGTATCTTTGTGTGGATGCTGATTTACAGGAGAATGCGATGGGGACCTGATTGGAAATTAGTTCATTTATCTGAAATAATTCGTTCCTTCCTCCCTTCCTTTTTTCTTTTTCTTTTTCTGGTTTAACACAGTATACATTACTTCTGGCTCATATCAGGCTCAATAGCCAGTGTGGGGTAGGGTCCTTGATCTATGCAGCCATTGGGGAACCCATGCCCTCCTCACAGGGGTTCTCAACCTGTGGGTCGCGACCTCTTTGGCGGTCGAACGACCCTTTCACAGGGGTCGCCTAAGACCATCCTGCATGTCAGATATTTACATTACAATTCATAACAGCAACATTACAGTTATGAAGTAGCAACGGAAATAATTTTATGGTTGGGTCACAACAAGAGGAACTGTATTTAAAGGGCCAGAAGGTTGAGAACCACTGCTTCTGGGTATGAGGTTCCAGAAAGCAGATGGAGAAGATGCACAGTAGAGGGGTGGAGAGAGGTTTTTATGGACTAGCTCTGGAAGTGGTAGACAGCTTTCCACCTACATCCTCTGGACCGCAAGATGTCTCATGGTCCCACTAGATGGGGCTGGGAATGTAGTTTCTGGGAAGCAGCTGCCCAGAAATATCTGGATTAGAATATTGCGAGGCCCAGGTGAGACCTTAAGAAGAAGGGGTGTGTAGAGAGCCCCTGGGAAGGCACATGGGCATTTCTTTAATTGTCAGCTGAATCCAGGGCGGTAGGCAAAGCCACGTCCTGGAAACACAATTTGCCAAAAGGCAGAAGTGTTCTCAGCTTGACCTTCATTTCTGCCCAGGTGCTGGGGAGTGGGTTTTATTATGTAAATCCAGCCAAGCACCAGGAATGAATACGACTCCGGGCCCATCCAGAACTGACACTACAAGAATGCACATAATCTCCTTTGTCTTGACCTTTGGTGAAACTTCCTGGTATTTTGGTATCTCTCTCTTCATCAGAAGAGGGCAGCGGTCCCACCCAGTTCCAGCTTTTCCTTCCATCTCTGTGTCTGTCTCTTTCTTTCATTTTCTCAATTCCTAGCCACCCCTACTCAAAGAACCAGACCACTCTCTATCCTCGTTCGACGCGGAAAAGAGAAAATCCTCCAGGGGTGATGTGTGAAAAATTTGGGGAGTTGGTGAGAGTGTAGTGACAGCATACTGTCACTACACTCTCACCAACTCCCCAAATTTTTGACAGTTTTCTGTCCATTTGTTGACTGAGAGATGACTCTTACTTTCATTTCTTATTGTTGGCTGAGAGAGCAGGAGAGGATTTTGTTTTGAAACCTGCCCAGGGGTCTGAAGCTTGAGAGGATGGCCAGGGCCCTGATTGGCTAGTTGGGGAGTTGTTGGGTGGTATAGGCCACGGCTCCTGGAGTGGGTCAGATCCGAGATGGGAATCTGAGGGTGGAACCATGAGGAAATTGGTCCCTCAGGGACGTGTGGAGAAGAGGCATCTTGGGACAATGAGGAGCAGCAGCTGAAGAGGAAGACAGACACAATAAATGGTGGATGATGGATTATATTATGGGGGTAATTAGTGAATCTTGTTAATGCTAATATCTGTATTTGGTAAGCTGAAGATGGCAGCTCTATTCTTAGGCTGCTTCCCAAAATTTGGGGTCAAATTTTACTCGTCTTGGAAATTTGGACATCTGGTGTTTACTGGCCTAGATGATTCTGAGTTTCCTTTTTTTTTTTTTTTTTAAGTTGAATTTACTGTGTGACATCAGTTAATAAAACCATGCAGGTTTCAAGTGTACAACTGCATAATGCATCATGTGCTCACTGCCCAAAGTAAATTCTTTCTGTCCTCATTTATTCCCCCTTTGCCCTCTTTCACCTTCCCCCACCCCCCTTTCCCTCTGGCAATCACCATACTGTTGTCTGTGTGTATGTGTTATTGTTGTTATTATTATTAAATATGTTTTCATTGATTTTGGAGAGAGAAGAAGAAGCATCGACGTGAGAGAACCATCGATTGGTTGCCTCCTGTACACACCCTGACTGGTGATCGAACTGAAAACCTGGGCATGTGCCCTGAACGGGAATCAAACTGGAATCAAACCGGGGACCTTTTGGTGCATGGGACAATGCTCAACCAACTGAGCCACACTGGCCATGGTTATTATTATTATTGTTATTTTTGCGTAATTCCTTCACCTTTTTCACCCAGCCTGCCAAAACCCCTCTTACGGCTGCCAATTTGTTTTATGTGTCTGTGCTTCTGTTTTGTTTGTTAGATGATTTTATTCATTAGATTCCACATCTTCTTTATTCTTCACCTTTCCCTTTTCCTTGAGGTTCACACAAAAGTTCCTTGCCCCTTCTCTGTTTCTGGGTCACATAAGGAGAGTGTATGTGGCCGGTTGTATTTTCTATGTATTTTCCTGCATCTCTACTGGTCTTCCTGAACCTCAGGTCAGCTGTTTCAGAAATAGATTCTCACTGCTGCTTTTCATTGGTGACACCTGGGAAGGATCTCTGGTCCCTGACTTCCTTCCTGTGCTTAGGGGGATAGTGAGCATTGTGGTCAAGTGCACAGCCCTGAAGACAAGCCTACCTTGTTCCAACCCTGTCTCCGTTCCTTGCTAGCTGAGTGGTCTTAGGCAAGTTACTTTATATCTGAGCCTCAGTTCCATCATCTGCAAAATGGGAATAATGATACCACCTACCTTGCCTGGGGATGTGTGGTGGAGGGGGTCAATGGGGAAAATAGGGGACATCTGTAATACTTTAAACAGTAAAGGTAAATTTAAAAAACAATACCATCTACTTCATAGAATTTTTGAGGACTAAATGAATTAACAAAGAAAATGTTTGGGCAATCCCTGGTTTATTGTAAATGCTCAAAAAGTTTTAGCAGCCATTATCATTATAATGATTAGATAGATTTGGCTCTGGCAGCACCGATTATTAGCCCCTCTGCCTAGAATGTTCTTTCCTTCTCTCCTTGCCTGGATCCTCAATCCTAAGAATTCGGCTCAGGCTCCCTCTAGTTGGCTTCCAAATTTCCATCAGGGTCAGGTGCCCCTCTTCTCCACACTGATATATTCTAAACACAGCTGACCTTGCACTTCCCACTCCATTTTAGAGTCATCTCTATGTCTTTCACCTCCACTAGATGAGAGGAGTGGAATCAGGATGACTCCAAAGGAGAGGGAAATGGTCTTTTACTGAGATGGCAAAGCCTGTGGGAGGTGCAGGTTTGGAGGAGTCGATCAAGGGTTTGGTTTTCTTTTGAGATGCTTATAATAAGCTTGATGTATGATGTACGGCAGTGTCTGAGTCAAGCAAATGGTATTTGCCTGATTCTTCTCAGTCATGTTGATCACGGCAGTCAGTTGAAGTCTTTGTATCATTGGGGCATGGTTCCAGTGCCTGGTTCACAGTGAGTGTTTAACAAGGGCTTGTTGATCCAAAAATGGAGCGGGTTGGGGGAGTGGAGAGGAGAAAGGGCTGGGCCTCATGGGTGTATAAGCCCTTGTAACCATAAGGCATCTATACTTATTTACTCAGCTGCTTTTTAAATGTCCAGTGACTGGTATGCTGTGACTCTTCTTTGGGGAATGACCCTGTCATTCTCATTAGATACCTGCTGAGAGGCGCTGTTCCAGATTCTACAATTCACAAGTTATCATCTCTTCCTTTGTAAATAAGCTTTATGTTTGATCTTTGCATAGAAATGCTGTTTTTTCTCCAGGGCTTCTAAACAATGTAAGGAACTATTGTAAAATTATCTTAAAAATTGATAATTGGTAATTGGTAATTATCTTAAAGATTGATAATTGTATTAGTTTGCTTAGGACACAAGTTAACACAGATTGGGGAGTTTAAACCAGAAGTTTATTTTCTTACAATTATGGAGGCTAGAAGTTAGACATCAATGGTTGGTTTCTTCTGAGGCTTTTCTCCTTGGCTTGTAGATGGCCATTTTCTCCCTATATCCTCACATCGTCTTCCCTTTGTGAATCTGTGTCCTAATCCCTTCTTGTAAGGCTCCAGTCAGATTGGATTGGTCCCCCTCCAGTGACCCCATTTTAACTTAATCACCCCTTTTTAAAGACTGTCTCCAAATACAAACACTTTTAAGGTACTGGGGATTAGGGTTTCAACATAAGAATTTTGTGGAGACACAATTCAGTTGTGACACTAACTCTGATCCTTTGCAGGAAGAACTGTAGAAACAGTCACACCTTGACAACTGAGCATAACCTGAGTGTGCTGAAAACTCATGGCGTTGATCATCTCAGCTACAGTGAACTCTGCCAGCTCTTGTTTCAGAACGACCCCTGGCTTTTGCCAGAGGTGAGTGCTGGGAGGAGGTGGGTATGTGAGCAAGGAATTGGGAAGAGGCCAGAAGGTTGGAAGATAGGAAATATTATGGCAAAAGAGAAGCCCAGGCTCCCATCATGATCATTGGGATCTGCTTGGAGGAGATCTAGTTTGCATTCCCAGTTCTGTGACCTTGGGGACTGAACTTGCCCCTTAAAGCCTTTCCTTCTGCATCAATTGGGCTGTACTGCCTTTCCAGGGCGTCTGTGAGGTTGGGGGAGCCCGTTTGGCCAGTGGCTGCAGCAAGACATTATTTATACAGCTGAGGAGATGAGAGACTCCAGTCAGTTCCTCCCTGTCTAGCAGGACTTGGAACCATGCAGATATCACTGGACCCAGTTGGGTCTATAGAAAAGCTTTCTAGGGCTGCTGACAGGCAGATGTGCTATTTACTAATTCATTTGTACCCAGGATTTTGAACTTTAGTTGATGTTGCATTTCTGGTATCCACTTGATTAAAAACTTATTGCAATAGTTAATTATTTAAGTCTTTGGGTCTTCCTAGAAGCAGACACTAACATGGGATTATAAGTGTGAGAGATTTATTGGAGGATGAGCAGAAGAAGTTGGGGTGAGCCTTCAGGCAATGATGTAGGTCTGACATCTGTGGCAGCAGAAAGGGAAGGAAGGGGACTGGGCAGAAAGATATCCTGACTAACCCATTTCTAAGAAAGCTTCTACCTGACCAACAGGCAGTTCTGATATAAAATCTTCACTGTTGGAGGTGGCTGGTGTCTCCCCAGAATGGCATGCTCTGTTTTTGGCTGGGAGCATCCCGCAGGAGTGTGGCCTCTGTGTGAATAAGGTAGTAGCTCCAGAGGGTAGCAGCTGGGCCAAGAGTTAGCTGTGGTCTGCAGCACATCTGAGCAGTGCCTTCCTGTGGCCAGCCAGGTTATATGGGATGTTCTGACACACCCTACAATGAGGCAACAGAGATTAGATTGGCATATTTTAATGAAAAGGCTTCTATATGATTCAATTAAAATCACTCATTTGAGAAAGGTGCTACATAAGCGCAGGGACTGCCACATAATAGGTGTTAACTTTTTTTCTTTTGAAAATTAATATTGATTTAATTCAGCTAATCTTTATTGAATATTCTCTATGAGTCAGACATGGGGGATAAGGAGATAAAAGACCCTCTTCCACCCTTCCAGGAGGCACGTTTACTGGGTCAGACAGACAAGTCAGTGAATAATTGTAAGGTGCTGTTTTAGATGCTCTAATCAGTGCTTTGTAACAGGGGCAGTTTTGGGTGCTGGGGAAGACACCCTGGAATAGATGGTGCCTGCTCTGGGAGCTGAAGGATGAAGGTTTGGGAAGAGGGAGACACAGAAAGGAGGGAACTTGGCATGGTTAGGAGATAGCATGTAGGTCAGTGGATTTAGGGTTAGAGAGGGGAGAAAAAGAAATGGGTAGGCAGAGGGAAGGAGTATGGCGGGGGAGATTTGTGTTTGCAGAGTGCGTTTTCACATTTTGGAGAGATCCTCTTGTTATTAGTGTGAAAAATGAATCAGAAGATGAACAGTCTGGAGTGTGTAGCATCTGTGTGCTTGGGTGTACAGGTTGGTTCAGAACACAGTGCCAGCAAATGGGAGCTGAGACCCAGGGTGGCATTTCTGTCAGGATGTCTACTCTCAGGCTAGACTCCTCATCCAATGACTAGATGGGGGCCATCACCATGAATCAAGCACCCACTGTGTTCCAGACATTGTATATATTAGCCACTCCTTGTATTTCCCTTTTAATCCGCACAATAGCCCACCATATACATGGGATTATTCCCATTTTAAGGAACTGAAAAACCGAATCTCAGAGCTGGTGAGTGGCTTGCCTAAGGTCAGGCAGCTTGTAAGTGGCAGAATCAATGTTAGGATTCAGCCCTCTCTGGCCTTTCCCTTTGGGGCTTCCATTCCTTGAGTGGGGTCCCTGCTAAATCATGCTCAGTCTAATACCTGTGGATTAAGTGGTTGAACACTTAGTGGTCTCTGGCCTTGTTTTCATCCCCAGGAATTTGAGAGTAGAGGGGAAGGATTAATTGATTCAAGTCCCAGCTTTGCCAACAACCCAGCTCAACAGCCACTGTGTGTGCCAGATTGCTGTGTGACCTAGGGCAAGTGGATTAACTTCTCTGAGTCTGCATGCTCTCTTGAGAAAAAAAGGACTGCATTTGGCCTTCTCTAAGATGCTTTAAACCCTAAGAACTTCTTTGACCCTGAATTGTAGAAAAAAGAGTTGGGAGAAGCTGGGGCATGAGTTGGGGAGAGTTGGTGAATCAGGGGGAAGGGTGTAGGTAGAATGTAAGGGTTGTTAGGAACTGTTATGCAGCTTACATTCAAATGTCTCCTGTGAAGGAATAGCGCTGATCAGTTTGAAGTTTTTTGGCTTTTCCCAGTGGAGGGGCTTGTTTTGAGAAGTCTGCTATCCACCAAGTTTCTGTTTTAGCCAAGGGTGTTTATTAACAGACATTCAGAGTGAGGGATATTCTCATTTTGTGTGGGGCTGTGTGGATGATGGAATCACAGCAGTTGCTAGGTCTCTAGAGGAACCTCTTCTAACCAGTGGACTGGTCAGTAGGAAGATGGTGTAATGTGTGAAGCCTTCCTAAACTGCTGTCTTTCCCCTTCTCTGTCAATAGATCTGCCTTCATTACAACAAAGGAGATGGACACCATGGCTCGTGTTCCTTTAGAAAGCAATGTGTCAAACTCCATGTCTGCCAGTACTTTGTACAGGGTGAATGCAAGTTTGGCACAGGCTGTAAGAGATCCCATGATTTCTCTAATTCTGAAAATCTGGAAAAACTGCAGAAGTTGGGCATGAGCTCAGACCTGGTGAGGAGGCTGCCTTCCATTTATAGAAATGCTCATGACATCAAGAATAAGAGCTCTGCCCCTGTCCCACAGGCGACTTCTGGTAAGGCCCTCAGCTGGGGCTCCTGGATTCCAGCTGGCCATTAAATGGAATGTGTGACTTTGGATAAGTTGGTGCTTCTTTTAGTAAAATGCTGTTAGTGATCCCTTTCTAGCTGGTGGGGCTGTAAAGATGAGTTGAAATCATGGGCATGAACAAGCAAGACATTCTACAAAAATGCCAGTTGGTGTTGACAATGAATGAATTCCTGCTGGGCCTTACTTGCACTGAGATGGCAGACTGCTTCTCTGTGCAGTCATCCCTCTGTCCCCTGGAGACCTGCACAGCTCTAGGGGAATCCTTTGCATTGCATTCTGTTTTGATTGTTTTAAAAACAAGTGAACAAAGCATAGAGTAATGTTGGTCCCTTCTTGAGATGAATAAATGGAATTTTTTTAGACATTGTAAATTTACTTTGTTCACTGCTCATCTCCAGTGCCTGGACAGTGCCCAGGCCCACAGTAGGCACTCAGACATTTGTTGAATGAATGAACATGCTAAGATAAGTATTTTTTAAAAAAAGAAATGTCAGGCCCTGGCTGGTTGCTCAGTGGTTAGAGCATTGGCCCGTGGACCCAATGGTCTCAGGTTCAAGTCCCAATCAAGGGCATGTACCTCAGTGTAGGTTTGATCCCTATCCCTGGTTGGGGTGTGTGCAGGAGGCAACCAGGCCATGTGTCTGTCTCACATCGATGTTTCTCTTTCTTCCCCCTTCCTCCTTCCCTTTCACTCTAAAAATGAATGGAGAAAATATTCTCAGGTGTGGATTAAAAAAAAATAGTAATAAAAATAATGTCAGACTTAGTGAGAGGAACATGGGGAAATTCTGAGCAGAGATTATTTATGTAATAAGCATTTCTTGAGTACCTGTTGTGTGGGAAATGGAGAATGTGGTCCCTCACAGAGGTCATGATACATTGGTGTCCCTTGCATTATTGGCTGTTGGCTAGCCATTCTGGTTATCCATTGTTTTATTCAACAAATTTTAGTGCTTGCCATTTAGTGATAGTTACTGTCCTGGGCCTGGCTATGTCTTGGTGACTATGAGACATGGCTCCACCAGGGATGCACAATCAAACCCACTTGTTAGCTACAATGATATTTAGGATTTTTTTTAAATTAAAAAAAATATATATACTTTATTGATTTTTTACAGAGAGGAAGGGAGAGGCATAGAGAGTCAGAAACATGGATGAGAGAGAAACATCAATGAGTTGCCTCCTGCACACCCCCTACTGGGGATGTGCCTACAACCAAGGTACATGCCCTTGACCAGAATCGAACCCGGGACCCTTCATTCCGCAGGCCTACGTTCTATCCACTGAGCCAAACTGGTTAGACCCCTTTTTAAAAGGCGAAAGATTTATACGATCTGAAGAGAAACCAGAGTATAGAGACCCCTTTTTAAAATATCAGGTGTCAGGACTACCAGCAGACAAACTTATCACACTAATCTTATCTGATTTTTTTATATTTAACAATTATTCTTGCTATATGTATTTTCCCTTCACATTATCTTTGATTAATTTTGGTTAATTTCTTTCTTTTTTTTTTTTAAATATATTTTATTGATTTTTTTACAGAGAGAAAGGAAGAGGGATAGTGAGTTAGAAACATTGATGAGAGAGAAGCATCAATCAGCTGCCTCCTGCACACCCCCCACTGGGGATGTGCCCGCAACCAAGGTACATGCGCTTGACCGGAATCAAACCCGGGACCCTTCAGTCCCCAGGCCGACGCTCTATCCAGTGAGCCAAACCAGCTAGGGCTTGGTTAATTTCTTTTAATAGTAGAAAGCCTAGAAGTAGACAAGGTTTTGCTTTAAATAGATCTTGAAGAGTTCAATTGGATTATGGCCTTGTTAGTAAGGGAGGGAAGGATACCTGCCCTTGGGGACAGAGGGAGGCAACCTTCAGGGTCCCACAAGTGTAGGTTTTGAGGTTGAGCCTATATATGTCTGAGGAGCACATAAAAAGAAAAATGAAGAGGAATAATAAGATTACAGGTGATATTAAGTAGAGAGGGTTTGCTATATGCTTGCTTATGTGGTGGTAGGTGGGGAGTATTAAATGTAACTATTAGGTAAAGGCTCATTGTAGCACTAGTAAAGGTAAACTTTGAAATCACTTACATGTTCTTTTTATATTAAATTTATTATAATTAACCTAAAATTAATTGAGGTTTTATTTTGAGAGACAGACTTTCCATTTATTGCTTTTTTTCTTGGTATTGTTACCCAATCCTAATAGTTCATTAACAAGGATCTGCTATTGGAATTAAATCCAGTAGCTGATACATCTTTGTGGTGTTTGTTTGTAGAAAGAAGAGACAGTTCAGGTTCTGTGTCCTCAACAACTACTCACCAAGAGGAGAGTGATCAGATCTGCTTGTACCATATTCGGAAAAGTTGTAGCTTTCAAGGTAAGTCCAGGAAAACCTCTCATCTAAGTGTGGGTGGGATAACTGCTTCTCATTCCTGGAGCTCTGCTCTGAGGCCACCCACAAAGTCCTCTTCACTGTCCAGAGAGGGTCGGGCCTTCTTAATCATAAGCTGGTGTGGCATTTGGTCACACCAGTTCTGCAGCAGTTTGTTGGGGAGTTGGGGATGATAGGAATTATTTAAGTTTCTAAAAATCAGACTAGATGATTTTGGGGACCATAACTGTTGGTTCATGCAGTGGGTGAAACCTTGGTCAGCATAGTATGAAGTCACAGATGTGCACAAGTCACAGATGCCTAGTCTAGTGGAACAAAGATAAGTGTTTTTTGTACAGTGTGGTTGTAGACTTAGAGATGCCTTAGACCCATGTTTATTCTTGGGAGATGAGTAATTGTTTAAGTTGTGGTTTTCTCTCCACAGTCCCTCTTTTATCAGATGTAGCAATTCTTGTATCTATGTGTGTGTTTATATTTTTACTAAACCTTTGTTTTCTTCTTATTGCTGTCCTGGGCTTTGAAGAATGTTTCTTTTTCAAATTCGGTGACTTCTCTTAAAAAGCAAACACCACAATTTCTTGTTTCGTTTTCAGTCTTTAAAAACTACCCAAGCAATTCACGAATACTTTCTCTTTGTAAAAGAGTCTATTAATACAGGGTAAAGTCTGAAGTCCTCCAGCCTTCCCCAAAGGTAAACACATGCCATGTGGTTATGATATTTATGACATACTATTTTACCTGCTTCCTTTACTTAGTATTGTGTCTTGGAGGTTTTTTCCCCAGGTTAGTTAGTACATGTAAATTCACCTTGTTTTTAAAAACAATTGTGTAGTATTCAATTAGAGTGTTGTTCCATTGAACATCTGAGTATACATGTGTATTTCCATGGACAGATTCCTGGAAATGGAATGGTAAGTCAAAGAATAGGTGCCATCTATACTAATAAAAGGGTAATATGCTAATTAGACTGGGTTGACCAGACATCTTCCGGTCGTTCTGCCTTCCTTTCGGACAAAGCTCTGGTGGCAGGGGCCGAGGCAGAGGCGGTTAGGGGCAATCTGGCAGGCAGGCAGAGTGGTTAGGGGTGATCAGGCAGGCAAGCAGGTGAGCGGTCAGGAGCCAGCAGTCCCGGATTGTGAGAGGGATGTCCAACTGCCTGTTTAGGCCCGATGCCTGGTGGTCGGACATCCCCTGAGGGGACCCCGATTGGAGAGGGTGCAGGCTGAGCTGAGGGGACCCGCCCCTTGTGCACGAATTTCATGCACCGGGCCTCTAGTATATACATATATGTGTATATTTTAAAAATCAACACAGATCTAATTTACACACAATAAAATTAATCCATTTTAAGTGTACACTCTGAGTTTTGGTAAGTATATCTGCCATGTACACTCTGAGTTTTGGTAAATGGGGCTGCTAAATAAATATAGCCATGACTATAATCTAGATATGGAACAATTCCCTCATTCCAAAAGTTTCCCTTATGCCCCTTTATAGTTAATCCCCCCCCCTCCAATTTTCTCAGGAAATCCCTGATCTACTTTGTTACTGTAGGTTGATTTGCCTTATCTAGGATTGCATGTAAATAGAATTATACAGCATGTATTCTCCGGTACCATCTTCTTTCACTGAGCTTATTTTTGAGGCTTGGTCATGTTGGAATATCCATAGTTTGTTCCTTTTTATTGCTAAGTAGTATTTCATTGCATGGATTGACTACAATTTGTTTAACCATTCAGATGAACATTTGGGTTTCCAGTTTTTGGCTTTTTTACAAATAAAGCTTCTGTAAATCTTCATGTACAAGTTTTCATGTGGATATATGTTTCCACTTTTCTTTGGTAAAGACCTAGAAGTGCAATTATTGGATCATGTGATAAATGTGTGTTTAACTTTATAAAAAATTGCCAAACTGTCTTCCAAAGTGTATGTATATTATTTTAACTTTCCACCAGCAATGTGTGAGCATTTCAGTTGTTCTGCATCCTTGTTAACACTTGGTATTGTCAGCCATTTAAATGTTAGCTGTTCTGCCGAAACCGGTTTGGCTCAGTGGATAGAGCGTCGGCCTGCGGACTGAAAGGTCCCAGGTTCGATTACGATCAAGGGCATGTACCTTGGTCGTGGGCACATTCCCGGTAGGAGATGTGCAGGAGGCAGCTGATCGATGTTTCTAGCTCTCTGTCTCTCTCCCTTCCTCTCTGTAAAAAATCAATAAAATATATTAAAAAAATAAAAATAAAAATAAATGTTAGCTGTTCTGATAAGAGTAGTGATAGCTCATTGTAGTTTTAACTTGCATTTTCTGATGATTAATGGTATTTAACATTTATTTTCATATGTTTATTGGCCATTTGTATGTCTTATGTGAAGTATTTATTTAAATCTTTTGCCTGTGTTTTAGATAATAGCTTTTTTGAGATAATGAGTATAATTCACATACCATACAATTCCTCTATTTAATAGTTTTTAATATACTCAAAGAATTGAGCAGCCATTATCAGTCAGTATTAAAACATTTCATCGAAGAAACCCTGTACTCATTAGAAGTCACTCATATTCTCCCTTCCCCTCCAGCTCCTGGCAACTACAGATTTACATTATATCTCTATGGATTTGCCTGGATATATATATTTTTAAATATATGTACATATATATGTGTGTGTGTGTATATATATATGTGTATCAATAATATATATAATATATATAATCTACACTAATAAAAGAGAAAAATGGTAATTGGCGTACGGCGCTACCCTTTTCATTGGCTAATCAGGGCTATATGCAAATTAACTGCCAACTAAGATGGCAGTTAACTGCCAACAAAGATGGCGGCTAATTTGCATATGTAGGCACAATGCAGGGAGGCAAAAGGGAAAGCAGGAAGAAGCCCCCTGCCACTGACAGTGATCGGAAACCCAGGGGGGAGCTAAGAGGTGGGGGGCAGGGCAGAGGCGGCTCTGGGGCGTTAGGCCTGGGCAGGGGCGGAGCCTGCAACCGTGGGGAGCTGGGGGTCCCCTGCCCAGGCCTAATGCTTCGGCCAGAGGTGTTAGGCCTGGGCAGGGGCAGAGCGGGAGATCGCGGCGCTGCTGCCGCTGCGGGTCCCTGCTGCCCGGGCCGGACGCCTCGGCCAGAGGTGTTAGGCCTGGGCAGGGGCGGAGCCTGCAACCGCGGGGAGCTGGGGGTCCCCTGCCCAGGCCTAACGCCTCGGCCAGAGGCGCGAGGCGTTAGGCCTGGGCAGGGGCAGAGCGGGAGATCGCGGGGAGCTGGGAGTCCCCTGCCCAGGCCTAATGCCTTGGCCAGAGGAGTTAGACCTGGGCAGGGGCAGAGCGGGAGATCGCGGGGAGCTGGGAGTCCCCTGCCCAGGCCTAATGCCTCGGCCAGAGGAGTTAGGCCTGGGCAGGGGCGGAGCCTGCAACCGCGGGGAGCTGGGGATCCCCTGCCCAGGCCTGACACCTCTGCCGGAGGCCTCAGGCCTGGTCAAGGGGCCGATCTGGTGATTGGTGATCGGAGGGTGATGAGGGTCAACTCCTCTGGCCGAGGCATCAGGCCTGGGCGGGGGGCTGGGGGTCCCCTGCCCAGGCCTGATGCCTGGGCCAGAGGCATCAGGCCTGGGTGGGGGGCGGAGCTGGGGATTGGAGGGATATGATGGTCCCCTTGCCCAGGCCTGAAGCCTGAGTCAGAGGCATCAGGCTTGGGTCGGGGGTGGAGCAAGCGATCAGAGGGAGATGGGGGTCCCCTGCCCAGGCATGATTCCTGGGCCAGAGGCCTCAGGCCTGGGCGGGGGTCAGAGCCAGTGATCGGGGGGGAGATGGGGGTCCCCTGTCTAAGCCTGACACCTCTGGCGGAGGCGTCAGGCCTGGGCAAGGGGCCGATCAGGCGATCGGAGGGTGATGGGGGTCTACGCCTCTGGCCGAGGCATCAGGCCTGGGCAAGGGGCAGAGCCAGCAATCGGAGGGGTCTGGGGGTCCCCTGCCCAGGCCTGATGCCTGGGCCAGAGGCATCAGGCCTGGGCTGGGGGCAGAACCAGTGATGGGGGGAAATGAGGGTCCCCTGCCCAGGCCTGACGCCTCTGGGCAAGGGGCCGATCCTGCGATTGGAGGGTGATGGGGGTCAACACCTGAGGGCTCCCAGTATGTGAGAGGGGGCAGGCTGGGCTGAGGGACACTCCCCCCCCCCCCAGTGCATGAATTTCGTGCACCGGGCCCCTAGTAAATATATAATATATAATAATATATATACTAAATCAATAATATATATATTATTGACATATATATATTATTGATTTCAGATAGGAAGAGAGAGGAAGAGAGAGATAGAAACATCAGTGATGAGAGAGAATCATCCATCAGCTGCCTCTTGCATGCCTCACACCTGGATCAAGCCCGCAACCTGGGCATGTGCGCTTGACTGGAATCAAACCCGGGACCCTTCAGTCCACAGGCTAACACTCTATCCATTCAGCCAAACTGGCTAGGGCCGTGGCCGGCAAACCGCGGCTCATGAGCCACATGCGGCTCTTTGGCCCCTTGAGTGTGGCTCTTCCACAAAATACCACATGTGGGCTTGCATGTACAGTGCGATTGAAACTTCGTGGCCCATGCGCATAAGTCGGTATTTTGTGGAAGAGCCACGCTCAAGGGGCCAAAGAGCCGCATGTGGCTCGCGAGCCGTGGTTTGCCGAGCTGCAGTTTGCCGACCACTGGGCTAGGGCATCTGGATATTTCAAAGAAATGGAATCATACAATATGTGGGGTGTTGTTTGATTTTGTTATTGAGTTGCAAGGGTTTCTCATAGGCTTCTCTTTCTGCAGCCCTTATATCTACAGTCAGTGTTGCATGGGACAAATAGCAAGGTTGCTGTGCACAAGCAAGGCACTGAGGGAATGCCTGCTGGGGTGGATCCCAATAACTCTCATTGCCATTGTCTGAGTGTCTTCCTTGCTTCTTGATACATTGAACCTTGAGTTTGTGAAGCCCTCAGACCCTTCCCACTTCTGCAGTAGCTCTCCTCTGCTTACTTTGCATGTGTTTTTCTCTTTCCTTTTTCTCTCAGTTTGATTCTGTCTGTTTCATATTTTTAGGAATTCTTCAATAAATCTGGTCTTTTGATGGAATGGTTTATTGTTTTCTAGTGCTTTGGGATTTATCCTGTCTATGGCCTATCATTTCAAGGGCTGTAGAGAGAAAGGGGATGTAGATGTGGGTACTTTGCCAAATTGATTTGGTTTCTGTGTCTCACCTTCTAGAAGGCCTAGACTCTATAATGACACAATGAGGTGGGGAATGTTTGAAGTATGGAAGGAAACTGAGAAAGGAGACAGGAAGACCAGGGCAGATGTGGCAGAGAAGGGGTCTCATGCCTTCATCACTGAACTGGGACTCAACTCTTGCCAGCCACTGTAGCTGTGGTGGCCTATATGGCACCCTCCTTTCCTTGTGCTTTTTTAAAAAAGTCTTTATTGTTGAAAGTATTACAGATACCACCTTTTTTCCTATTGCCCCCTTCTGGCCAGCACCCTCTTTTAGTGCCTTCTGACTTGTGAGCAGTAGGGGATCCATGCTCAGCTCAGATTAAGACTCAAAGGCTTGAACCTGCTGTTTGACCACAGTGCCTTCCCTTGGCCCTCATGTCCTTCTCAATGAAGGATCAGCCTGGAAGGCAGTGGGTGGTGCACCTGGAGGTGCCTTCTTTAGGGAGGACCTTTCTTCAGGCTATCCAGGATTCACTTGTGCTTGGGTTTATAGATGCAGTAACTGAACACTTACCGAGGATCATTTCCCTTAATGCCTCTCAAGAGGAAACAGGAAATCTTATCTATATAATAAAGAGCCAGGGTCATAGCGACCAATTACGATGGAAGGTTTGACCAGACTGGAAGTCAGTGCTGGGTTGCCGTGGTGTAAATATCTGATATGCAGAATGGTCTTAGGCCAGTGATGGCAAACCTTTTGAGCTCGGCGTGTCAGCATTTTGAAAAAACCTAACTTAACTCTGGTGCTGTGTCACAGAAATTTTTTGATATTTGCAACCATAGTAAAACAAAGATTTATATTTTTGATATTTATTTTATATATTTAAATGCCATTTAACAAAGAAAAATCAACCAAAAAAATGAGTTCGCGTGTCACCTCTGAAACGCGTGTCATAGGTTCTCCATTACTGGCCTAGGGGGCTGCAGATCAGGCCTGGAGAGAGGCAGGGTCTGATCCGTAGCCTCTGTGGCAGCTGTTGATCAGAACTTGCCTCTCTTTCTCTCCCGGCCTGGCCAACAGCCTTGCCTCCATTTCTCTCCAGGCCTACACCGGGACTGCTGATCAGCCCCGCCTTTCTGATCAGGCCCCATTGATAGGCCCAGAGATGCTGACTGGCATAGAAACTGACCAATTAGAACCAAATCTGGGTGAATGTAAGGAGCCAATGGCTGCCTAGGAGGTAGAGCTTTTGACGCTGACTGGCATAGAAACTGACCAGTCAGACTCAAATTGGCAAGCAGAGAAGGGCAATTGGGGGCGAGATCAAGCCTGCAGGGGAGGGCAGTTAGGGTGATCAGGCAGGCAGAGGCAGTTAGGGGTGATCAGGCCAGCAGGGGAGAGCAGTTAGGGGCGAGATCAGGCAGCAGGGGAGGGCAGTTGGGGGTGAGATCAGGCCGGCAAGGGAGGGTAGTTAGGGATCAGCTAGGCAGAGGTAGTTGGGGGCTTGATCAGGCCAGCAGGGGAGAGCAGTTGGGGGCTCGATCAGGCCGGCAGGGGAGGGCAGTTAGGGGCGATCAGGCAGGCAGGCAGAGGCAGTTAGGGGCAATCAGGCAGGCAGGCTGAGAGGTTAGGGATGATTAGGCAGGCAGGCAGGTGAGTGGTTAGGAGCCAGCGGTCCCAGATTGTGAGAGGGGTGTCTGACTGCTGGTGTAGGCCCGATGCCCAGTGGTCAGACATCCCCCGAGGGGTCCCCGATTGGAGTGGGTGCAGCTGGGCTGAGGGAACCCCCCCCCCCCCCGTGCATGAATTTTGTGCACTGGGCCTCTAGTTTTGTCATAACTCTGGACCAAAGTTATGACCTCATGTATTCAGGCTGAGTCCTTCATTATCACTCTTGTACATATCCCTAGTCAGGAGTCTTAGAGGCTCTAACTTTGGACAAGTCAGGATGTCCTGAGATCCCCCAGTTGGCTGTGTCTAGCCTTGCTGATCTCAGAGGAGATTCCCTTGACTGGGGTCATCCTTTTGTTCTCTGTCCTTTCAGCCAGGTGCTCTCTTCCACCCAGGTGGCCTGGCCCTAGGCCTGGCCTTTGCCAAGCCCAGGCAGCCTCCCACCTTCCTTCATTGTCCTCCCCACACCACCACATCTTTTGTAGAATCTTTGAGAAAGAAGGAGTATTGAGACTTACCTGAAACAATGCTTATAATTTTATTATTTTCAAGTGTCAAATTAGCCAAGCTTCATTGTTGTTGTTTTGAAAGATGAATTAAAAATGTGCAAAGGACAGTCATTAAGAAATGTCTCCCTCACACCTTTTACCCAGTATACAGATCACCCCCAGAAACAGTCATTATTACCAATTCCTTTAATATCCTTTCACAAAGATTTTATACATGAACAAGTGTATATGTCTAATCTGTTTTCTTCTTACACAGGCATGCTATGCACATTGTGATATCTTTTTTCACTTCATTAGACATTTAATTTTTTTGAATATATAATATGTGATTTGGTCCAAAATTTAAAAGGTACAAAAAACAACAGAAATCTCCCCTTATAACTCTGTCCTGGCCATCCAGTTCCCCCTGCAAGGAATAATGTGCACAGATGTGTATTTAGACAAAATATCTCTAATTTTTTTTTTTTTTTTTACCCCAAAAGAGTCATTCTTTTTTTTTTAAAAAAAAGATCTTTATTGTTGAAAGTATTACATAGGTCCTCCTTCCCCCCCCCATTAACCTCTTCCAGCCCGCTCCCATTCCCCGCCTCCCCCCAGGCCCTCACTACCCCATTGTCTGTGTCCATGGCTTATGCATATATACATATAAGTTCATTGGTTGATCTCTTCCTACCCAACCTCCCCTGCCTTCCCTCTGAGGTTCAACAGTCTGTTCATGCTTCTGTGACTTCTGGGTCTATTTTTTTGAAAATAAAATATTTTTATTGATTTCAGAGAGGGAGAGAGAGATGGAAACATTAATGATGAGAGAGAATCATTGATTGGTTGACTCCTGCATGCCCCCTACTGGGATTAAACCCACAACCTGGGCATGTGCCCTTGACTGGAATCGAACCCAGGAACCTTCAATCTGCAGGCCGACGCTCTCAAGGGGTCAAAGAGCCGTATGTAGCTTGCGAGCCGCAGTTTGCCGACCACTAATAGACGAAACAAGTATACAAGACGAGTGTGGATGGGAGAGTTGGAAGGGGTCGACCTCAGTGAACGTACCTCAATCAGACTGAGGACGTTTTTAGCAAAGGCCAGCTTAGGAGTACCCTAATTAAGTTAATAACAATGTACCTACCTATGTAATTTAAGTTTAAAAAATTTGGCTCTCAAAAGAAACTTCAATCGTTGTACTGTTGATATTTGGCTCTGCTGACTAATGAGTTTGCCGACCACTGACCTAGGCCATTTATTATGTGTATATCTGCAGGGGCAGAGCAGTGTATAAAGACCTTTAGGGGTGTGTGTGTGTGTGTGTGTGTGTGTGTGTGTGTGTCCAGAAAGATCAGTGTGTGTTAGAACCATGCTTCTGACCCACTTGCAATCAAACATGTCTGGGGTTGAGATGGTAGAGATAAAGCTGGCTCCGTTTTTGGCATGTACACTACCTGTCCACCTGCCACATGAATAGCAGTAACACATAGTCAGAATTTTACCTGCTGGGATGGTGCCTTTGACTTCATGATCAGCTTCTTTACTATCATGAGATGAAATGCATATATAATGTAATCTGCCAACTTATGTCATTTGAAAAATCAGTGAGTGTAATGTCCTGTTAAAAAGAGAGACATAAAAAGGAAAATGTATATGATAAAATACATAGTATTTAAATAACTAAATGCTTAGATATGACTGTACTAAAAAAAGACTCCTCCACAAATTTCCAAAGTATTCCTAGGTCAGCATGCAGCACCACACTCATTGATAACCATGGGACTAGGTCATGCTGTCTAATGCCAAATGTCTTTATATTTTCGTTTTAGATAAGTGCAATAGAGTTCATTTCCATTTGCCGTATCGTTGGCAATTCTTGGATGGAGGCAAGTGGAAGGATTTGGACAAAATGGAGCTTATTGAAGAGGCATATAGCAATCCTAATAAAAACAGGTAGGAAATATGTCATTTGTATCTGCTTTGTGCCTGGGCTTTTTTGTGTGTGTTGTGGGAAGTTTAGACACACACAAGCGTTTAGTTTTTAGTTTTGTTTTTTTTCTCCAAATATATTTTTATTGATTTCAGAGAGGAAGGGAGAGGGAGAGAGAGGTAGAAACATCAATGATGAGAGAGAATCACCAATCAGCTGCCTCCTGCATGCCCCACACTGGGAATCGAGCCTGCAACCCGGACTTGGGCCCTGACTGGAAATGGAATCATGACCTCCTGGTTCATAGGTCGACCCTCAACCACTGAGCCACACCAGCTGGGCCAGCAGGATTTAGTTTTGATGGCCTTTACACACTCTCTCACACATACACACTTAGTAAGCAGAATTGGAAGTTACTGTTCATACTGGAGGTTTGGTGCCTCTGTTCTTCCACCTTCCTCGTTTTTCAGGGAAAAGCTGTGGGGGAAGGAAATGGTGGTAACAAGTGAGTTCTGAATTATTTGTTGTTGGGACTGATCACTTGCATATATCTTCACTGACTAGTGCAGAAAAGCAAGAGCAATCATTTGTGAAATTTTAGCCTTTGCCTATGAAGTCATTTGGCTGACTTGCTGTTTATCCAGCCTTTAACTTTCTTATTTTTCTAAATGTGTCTCAATATTTTCACTTAGTCAATTCAGAGTAAATGGAAACCCTGGGTAGCTTTATTTTCAAATACTTATCATGTCTTGGATTGAACTTGCTAAAATATGTTGTCAAAAAGAGAATTTGCATTGATTTTTTGAGTGAATAAAATAAATTTGTACTTAGAGTACAATTATGTGCAAATTGCTACTGCAAAGTATGTGAAACGAATTATTCCCTTTAGGAGGATTAAATGGCTCACAAACCACCTGTCTCTCTCTCTCCTTCTCTTTTATTCTGAAGCAAAATTTACACACAGTGAAGTGCACTGATACTGAGTGTATAGTTCAGTGAGTTTGACAAATGCATTCACTTGTGTAGCCAACACTGATTCAGGTATAGATCGTTTTTATCACCCCAGCAAGTTTCCTCTTGTTCCCTTTCAGTTAGTGCCCACCCCCGTAGGCCACTGTTGTTCTGATGACTATCACCATAGATTGCCTGTTCTTGACCTACAGCTAAGTGCAACTATACACTGGACTGTTGTGGCTGGAGTCTTTCTGTCAGCACTCTGTTCTCGAGACTCTTCCAAGATGTCTTGTTCACATGCACACAGGCTTCCTTAGGGCAGTTGTTCAGGGATGAAACTGCTGTAGGGGGGTAGCCTGGGTCCATCCTCAACTCTGCCAGGTGATGCCAAGTTGTTTTTCAAAGGGATTATGCCACTTTCCACTCCTATTAGCAGTCTCTAGTGACATGTCTCCCTAACGTTTGTTAGTGTCTGCATCTGAACTTTTCCTAGTCTGGGGGGTGTAACTGGTATCTTCGTTTGCATATCCAATGAGTCAAAGTGTATCCCTATATATTTGTTGGCCATTTGTGCTTCCTGTGCTATTAAAATCTCTGTCCTAGTAGTTTGCCTATGTTGGCAGAATTTAGGGGGAGGTTGTGTTGTGTTTTTATTATTTTAGTTTTAGGAATTTAAAAAATTTTAGTTACTAAATGTGTGTTGAAAATGCATTCTTCCTGTCAGGTTATGGTATCTTTTAATGAAGAGAAGTATTTTTCCATCTTTTTTTTTTATTTTTATTGTTTTATACTTTTCATGTCATAAGAAATCCTTCCTTAATCCAAGACCATAAAGAAATTTTCTTTAAAAAGTATTAAGGTCTGCATTTAATTTCTTCCTGTATGTGTGAAATATGAGTTCAGTTTCTTACGCAGATGAATTACCAGTTTTGCCAAAGGCCAGTTATTATAAATGTATTTAATATAAAAATTTAAAAATTGTGGAAAATGCCGAAACCGGTTTGGCTCAGTGGATAGAGCGTCGGCTTGTGGACTGAAAGGTCCCAGGTTCGATTCCGGTCAGGGGCATGTACCTGGGTTGCAGGCACATCCCCACTAGGAGATGTGCAGGAGGCAGCTGATCGGTGTTTCTCTCTCATCGATGTTTCTAACTCTCTATCTCTCTCCCTTCCTCTCTGTAAAAAATCAATAAAATATTTAAAAAAAAATTGTGGAAAATATACATAACATAAAATGTACCATCTTAACCATTTTTAAGTGTACACTTCAGTGGCATTAAGTACATTCACATTGTGTGCAACCATCACCATTAGCCATTTCCAGAAGTTAATTTATTTTTAAATCAATAAAAACTGAGCCAAATTTGGCAGAACATTAACACATTTTATAGTTTATTTTCACATTCAGCTGCCAAATATTACTTTTTAAAAGTAGGCCATTTCTTTTCCACCCGTTTTCAATGCCGCCTGTGTTAGATGCCAAGTTAGCAAATACACACCCAAGTCTGTTTCTGGTCTTTTCTGTTCATTGGTCTGTTTGTATCAATACCATGCTGTTTTACCTCATAATGCTTTTTAGTTGCATCTGGTGAGGCAAATCCCTACCTTGATTTTCTTTATATTGTCTTGGTTCTTCTTGGTCTTTTGCTTAGAAATTTGAAAATCTACTCAATTTTCACACAAAAAAACCTCTGTTGTGACTTTTTAAAATTGAAATTGCATTGACTGCTGTCAGTTTGGGGAGAATTGACATCTTTATGATGCTGAGACTTTCATACGTATAATAGCATCCCATTTATTTAAATCTTTAATATAGTTCTATAATTTTCTCCATTAAGGTCTTATATATCTTTTGTTAGACTTTTTTCTTTTGGGATCTGTTAGTTCCTTCACTTAAAAAAATTTTAAAAATACGTATTTTCCCCAGTTTATTTGAGATATAAATGATATACAACACTATTTAAGTTTAAGGTGTACAGCACAATGACTTGACATGTATATATTGCAAAATGGTTACAACAATAAATTTAGTTAGTATCCATCACCTCATATGGTTATAAAAAATTTTTATTTCTTTGTGATGAGAACTTTTAGGATCTATTCTCTTAGCAGTTATCAAATATGCCATACAGCATTGTTAACTGTAGTCATCATGTTATACTTTACATCCCAGTTAAAAAAAATTTAAGTTATGTTTTCTCTCTGCTGATGCATAGAAATGCAACTGACATTTGTATAATCTTATATCCTGCAACTTTCCTAAAATATCTTAACTCAAAAGATCTGTTAATTTATGTGAATTATCTATATAGTTATATATTCTAGTAACTATATGCAGAAATCAACATAATTGGTGAATAATATTTTTATTTCTTTTAAATTCATATACATTTTATTTCTTTTTATTGCCTTATTGTAGTGGCTAGGACAGCCGTGGGCAAACTACGGCCCGTGGGCCGGATCCGGCCCGTTTGAAATGAATAAAACTATTGAAAAAAAAGACCGTACCCTTTTATGTAATGATGTTTACTTTGAATTTATATTAGTTCACACAAACACTCCATCCATGCTTTTGTTCCGGCTCTCTAGTCCAGTTTAAGAACCCATTGTGGCCCTCGAGTCAAAAGGTTTGCCCACCCCTGGGCTAGGACCTCCTATATCATGCCAAATAGGGGTGGTAATGGCTGAAATATCATTCTTTCCCTCTGATTTTAAAATTAATAACTTTAAATGTTAAAATGGTACTCATTTAACCATCCTATCTAATAAAAGACAAAAAGGACAATTAACCATACCTCCGCTATGCTTCCCATGGGCTAATTAGGGTGATAGGCAAATTAACTGCCAACAAAGATGGCGGTTAATTTGCATATGTGGGCACAGTGATGGCAGGCGAAAGGGGAAGGACGGAAGAACAGTGGTCGCTATGGCGATTGGAGGGAGAGAGAGCCGGGGTGCAGGCTGGGTGGCACCCCGGCACCCCAGCACCTGACATGCAAAGGTCGGGGATGAAATGACTTTTCCCAACCACATCTGCAAATATCCTGGGGAAGGCATCACTGAAGAGTTCACAACAACTCTCTTACTTGGCAAGGAAGAAAACAGTTGGCAACGGAAACAATCAAAGTTAAGGTCCCTCTGAGTAAAAAAGAGTATTTCCAACGTAGAGGAGGGAACAGGCAAAAATAATAGGTTCTCATGACTTCCACTGAAGTTTGAGTAGATGACAGAGTCAAAACGAACATACAAATTAAGACAGACAGTGGACATTCAAATGACCCGAATCAACTGTCACTGTTTGTCCCAATAGCAGCAATGCTTATGTGATAATATAGTTTAACAAACATACAAAACAAGTCACATGATAAGAGAGGTTCGGCTTCTAAAGTAAATTGAATTTGTTCTTTAAAAATTCTCATGTCCTCCCCTCTGACTATAATTCTTAATTTTCCAATCAGAAAATTACCCCAGGTGATTCAGTAACATGTAGAACTCCAGTAACCTAACTTATTTAAAAAAACAAACATCCCAACCATTTTTAAAATATTTAAATTGATATTTTAGGGTTAAAATTACAGAAGATATTTAGATCCAAATATATTTTCTGAATAGAAAATATTTCAGTTTTTGATTTAAAAAAAAATAAACATAAAAAAATATATAAGTGACACATTTTCCCAAGGAACTCTGAATTAGTACCTTTCCCTCTAACTTTCTTCAAATTAAGAGAATCTATGGAGTTCCCTATACTGCACAAGTTTTAATGAAAGAAAATAAGACTTTCTAAGAGCATCAAATACATGTTTTCTTATTTACAAACATATATACTCTTTTCTCTCTCTCTCTCTCTCACTTTAAAATATATTCTTACTGATTCAGAGAGAAAGGGAGAGGGAGAGAGATAGAAACACCAATGATGAGAGAGAATCATTGATCAGCTTCCTCCTACACGCCCTGTACTGGGGATCAAGCCCACAACCCGGGCATGTGGCCTGACCTGGAATCAAACTGTGACTTCCTGGTTCATAGGTCCAAGCTAAACCACTGAGTCACACTGGCCGGGCTCAATT